CAGGCTTGACTTTCTTCTTCAGTCTTCTCAGCTGAGCAAGTTCTTTGAAAGTAGAGAATACCAGAAGAATGTGTTTTATTGACCATGTAAAGGCCTTTCATCGTGTGGGTCATAACAAACTATGGCTAACGTTGAGAAGAAAAGCAATCCCGGAACACTTAATCATGCTCATGCAACACCTATACCTAAACCAAAAAGCTGTTGTCTAAACAGCTAACACCGCACGCTTTTAAATCGGGAAAGATGTGTGCCAGGGATGTATCCTTTCTCCATATCTATTTAATCTGTAAGCTGAGCGAATCGTATGAGCATCTAGACTCTAAGAAGAATTTGGGCTCAGGATCGGAGGAAGACTAAGTATCAGCCTGCATTACGCAGCTGACACAGCCTTGCTGCAAGCGAGGAGGGCTTGAAGGGCTTGCTGCTGGAGAGAGAAGACCACAGCCTTCAATATGAATTACACCTCAGCATCAAGAAGACAAAATCTTCACCACTGGTCCGATAGGCAACATCATGATAGATGGAGAAAAGACTGAAGCTGTCCACTATTTCATCTTACTTGGTACCAGTCCACACCACTGGTACCAGCAGTCAGGAGAGCAGGACACACACTGAGCTGTCTGCTGTCAAGGATATCTCCAAATTACTGAGAAGCAATGATGTCAGCTTGAAGACTAAGGTGTACCTGATTCAGGCCATGGTCTTTTCCAGTCACTTGCTGTGCATCTAAGAGCTAGACAATGAGTACGGTTGACTGAAAAATTTATGCCTTTGAGTTGTGATGTCGGAAAGGAGTACTGAATATCCTAGAGGCTGCCATTAGAACAGATATGTCTGGGGAAAATGCAGTCAGAATTTTCTTTGAAGGCAAAAATGATGAAGCTTCTTCTCACATACTTTGGGCATGTTGTTGTTATGTGCCATCAAGTTACCCACAACTCATAGCGACCCCAGGCACAGAAGCTCTGAACTCCACTCTGTCCTGAGCTGGTTTTACTGTCTCCAGTACACCTACCCCACATTACTCCAGTTACTGTGTCAATCCATTACATCCAGAGTCTTCCTCTCCTATGTTGTCCCCTCCAGTCTTTCAAGCATGATGTCCTTCTCCAAGGACTGGTCCCTCTTGGCCATGTGCCCAAAGTATGTGAGATGGAGCTTCAAAATCCTTGCCTCCAAGGAGTAACCTGGTTTCACCCTCTCCAAGGCAGATTTACTTTTTCTCTTGTTGATTCATGGTATGTTCAGGACTCTTCTCCAGCACCATAACTTAAGTGCATCAATTTTCCTACTGTCATTCCTAGTCATTGTCCAGCTCTCTGATGCATAGCTAGTAATTGCAAAGACCATGGCCTGGATTAGATACACCTTAGTCTCCAGATTTACATCATTGCTCTTTAGCACTTTGGAGAGGTCCTTGACCTCAGATTTTCCCAATGTCATTCATCTTTTAATTTCTCTCTCTCTCTCTCTCTCTCTCTCTCTCTCTCTCTCTCTGTGTGTGTGTGTGTGTGTGTACCATCTATTCAGATCCAGCTGGCATAGGAAGAGATTGTCCTTCCTTCTCCAGCAGAGCATGGTGGATCTTTTAATTTCTTGACTGTTGATTGTGGTTCTGAACAAGCTGAAATTGTTAGCAATCTCAATCTCCTCTCCATCTATCACTGTGGTGCCAATTGGCCCAGTGGTGAGAATCTTTATCTTCTTGATGTTGAGCTTCAATCCCTGTTGAAGCCTACAGTCCTTGACCTTCTGCAGTAAATGCCTCAGATACTCTTCAGTTTCGATGAACAAGGTTGCGTCATCTGTGTAATGCTGGTTAGTAATGAGTCTTCCTCCAATCCTGATGCCACATTCCAACTCCTAAGGTCCAGCCTCCCGGATGATCTACTCTGTGTGGATTGGAAAGATCGGGCATGTTGTAGAGGACTGTCTTCCTTGGGAAAGGACATCATGCTTGGAAAGGTGGAAGGTCAACAAAAAAGAGGAAGAGCCTCAGTGAGATGGATGGACATAGGGACTGCAGTAACGGGCTCAGGAGTGACAGACAGACAGACTGAGGAGAGGATAAGACAGGGTTCAGATCTGCTGTTCATCGGATCGCTATGAGTCATACCTGACTTGACGGCCCCTGACAGCAGCAACGTGGAAGGTCATCTTTCCTCCCACGTAACCAGGTGGCAGCAGCTAGACTAGTGTTTGGCTGCACAGCAGGACCTACAGCCTAGTCTTCCTGACACATACATGAGCCATCACAGACAGACAGAAGACAGGAGGAGACAGGAAAGGACAAAGGGAAATGGGAACCCCAGGAGGAAGTGTGAAGGATGTCATTGCATTGATGAGATTACAACCAGTGTCACCATGTGCCAGGCTCTGGGTGGCCCTCTGGGCTGGCACACTGACAAGGTGGACCCGGCCTGGCCTGCCGTCCCCCTGCTGGTGTGGGGATGGGACAGGGAGGAGTAAGCCAGGACCTGTCGGGGTTGTGAGAGCAATGGAGAGAAGTGGAAGGTGTGGTGAGGTGTACCCCCTGGCCAAGTGCCCACTCACCAGCTATGGCCTGGGCACCACCCTCCTGGACAGCCATCCTGGGAGCCAGGTATGGTGGAGCACCAGTGACTGAGGGTCTCTGATGAGGGGTGCCTGTCTCAGAGCTCCGGGGAAGCAGCAGTCCAAGTGGGGTGTCAGCAGGACTCTGGGAACTAAGGCAGAGCCAGTGCCTGGCCACTTTGGGGGCTGCTGGCGGGCTAGACCACGTGTCCTCCAACCAAGAACCTCCAGCCCTGGTGTCCAGACCCAGCCTCTCCTGCCAGCTCTGGGCAACCGGGCCAAGCAGGCACTGGCACCCTGCAGCCAGGGGGGGACCATCAAGCCTGCACATGATCAAGGCTGAGCGCTTTCTGCAGAAGCGTCCCTTGAAAGATGCTTTTTCACAATTTTAAAAGCCAGCCAGCATCAATTCATAACCTCACCAGACAAGCGCCGTCGGCGGGTTCACCCGGCGCCTGCGCTCCGACGAGCTGCACTCTGATTGCTCTGTCCGCATCCACGGCCGAGTGTGTCGGCTGCGGTTATTAATCTGGTGAGTCAAGGCTGGGTACAAAGGCCTTGTTGTCTCCGTCACCCTCTTAAATTGAGAATGACTAGACCCGACATCCCTAAAGTGACCCACCCCGCAGCCCACAGGGACGGGACCCGGGGCACCTGCCCAGACAGGCACCCTCCAGGCGCCAGCCACACCATGTCACATTCTTAGCCAGACAGCAGTCTCGGGTCCTTTGGGGGAGCAGCTGTACTTCAAGACCACTGCTGCACCCAAGAAATGAGTGAGAGGCACCCCTGAGATCAGGCCTGTGAGGGAGGAGATGGGGTGGGCCGTCAGGCACAGCCTCAGGGGTTCCCATGAGCAGGAGAATGTCTTGCTACTGGATCCTGTAGGTAGGAATGCCCAGTCAGCGGGAGACCCTTGCCCCCAGCCTCAAATGTGGCAGCAAAGCCAAGGGCTGCAAAAACGGGTCCCAGTTCAGACTCCACTGTACCAGGCCGTGACCCCCGAAAGCCCAGAGTGGGGCTGAGAGGGAACCAAAGCCACCAGGTGTGAGGGTGAGGGCCAGCCACCTTCACCCTAAACTAAAGCTGGACCAACGTCCCAGAGGAAGAGGGAGGGGACCCCAGCCTGTGTCTACACAAGTTCGCACACAGAGGAGGTGGACCCCCCTGTCACGCCCCCAGCACACACAGCACACGTATGCTTGTCCTGCACATGCCACATGTGTGTGTCCTCCACACATGCACACTCTATGTACATACACCACACTCACACACAGCACTCACGCTCACAGCCCTCCTCCATACACGCTTTCCTGCCCCATGCAAAAAGTTGCACACAGTCTACACAAACACAAGGATTTATACACATCCACGCCCACCCACGTGCCCACCTCAACCTGTGTGCACAACACATGCATCTGTGTGTAAGCGCATGTACACACACGCAACGCACGTGCACACACATGCACACTTCATGCACACACTCACAAACGCTTGCTGCACATGCACACTGCACGTGTGTGCACACTACACGTACACACTTCACACATGTTCACTGCACGTGCACACACTGCACATGCACGCACACACACTGCACATGCACACACACTCCACGTGCACACTGCACGTACACACTGCACACACACTCACACATATGTACCCGGTCTGCACACAAGCCCACACCCATACACAGGACGGTGGAGGGCACGTTCACACACGTGCACACAGGTGTGACGAACAGCCAGGCCCAGGTGCCAGAC